TCTATCTATCTATCTATCTATCTATCTATCTATCTATCTATCTATCTTTACTGTCAAGATTAAACTCTTTCAGCAGCAATATGTTCCTAATTTGATCAGCCTTCCATACAAGAAACCTCTGCCATCATTATTTAATCACACATTGACTAATTCAATCAGCTCCAGATCACTGATCAGATATCAGATTTGACTCTAAACCCTCATTTAATCAGAGACCAGCTGGTAAAAAAAAGGCAGCACCCATGCTGACATATTTGGAGCATAAGTGTCCATCAGAAGAACCGAAGCGTACTGTAACCCACAGCGCTGTCTGTTCTCAAACCTGTGAGTCTTTCATTGACGATTCACTGATTCCACATCAGCTTTGTTATTGCAAGTCATGTCCTCTGATCGCAGAACTTAAATCAACAAAACAGTCTCTGCCAAGGCTGATCTGTAAAGCTGTAAGCAGCCAGAAACAGTGACAGCTTCACAAATCTGTTAAACTGACAGCAGTCTGTCATTTTGATCTTATTATTCCTCACAGCTTCAGGGGTGGGCAGAGTTTCACCACGCGTGTAATATTTGTCCTTCATATCGGAGCTTTCAATTACTTACAGCAACATCAGGTTACCATGATCATTTCTTTAGCCTGACAGACTGTGGTTGGGTGAAATATAGCAGTAATGGAAAGGACTGAATAATGCAACCTTTCTTATAGTTTACAGATATTTATATCTATGTTCACTTATCAGTGACAGTGCTCTGTTTGGTGAATCAGAAAATTTGGGATGAGAAAACCAAACTGACTGAAGTCACTTTTGAAACAGTTAAAAATATATTTTTTTATTCTTTGGAAATTTTTATATCAGACCATTTTATTTGTCCGTGTTGTGGCACAAAACTTGTAAAATGGACTGTGGTACTCAAACCGTAAATGTTTCTGTCTAAAACTTTACAATGTGGCCTGATGCATGCTCAGTAATGAATCTAAGGTTAAGTCAGTTCTTCTGGATTAATAACCGGCCTGACTCAACCTTGTTAGATTTACAACGTGGCTTTTCATTGAGCGACAGTACGTTCATATGCAGTCAGACAAACAGATCGGAGCTGGCAGGAAGTGCAAAACTGTCAAAATAAATGTTATTTCTCCAGACATCAACTTTAATTTGTTTAAAATGCTGAAAATACAACAGTGTAAAAGACACATTTCAAGATATAATATTTAAATTTTAAGTAAAATAATAATTCTACATTTTTCCAGGATTGTGGGAGTTCTGCTCTGCAGCTCCCTGCAGCCACAGCCAAACACTAATCACTTGAGGATCATTGGCTTGATCAACAGGAGAAGCATCAAAGGCTGCAGAGGACATCCAGTCAGCGCTGGAGCATTACCTGCCAAATGTTAATTCTGTTCTAGCCTTTTACTCGTGAGTTAAACTGAATATTAATTACTTTATATTCCTCCATGCTTCCAGTAAATAATCCTCCTGTCCCCTGGATTCTCCTCCGTTGACCTTGAGTTCTCCTGTGCCTCCTCAGCTGCCTCGACACCTTCCTACCACTTGCCTGTCTCCTACCATTGTTCAGATGTTCACCTCCTTCGCCCTGGAACCATTGGGTCAGCTCTCGCCACAACTGATCCCTACCTCTACCATAAGAAAGAGCAGCAACAACATTATCACCCCTGCTGACAGATCATTAACCCATTTCCTTGCTCTTCAGGATTCCAGCTAAGATCTGATCACTGTGAATTTGGAAATCCTACTTCTGAGTGATGCATCTACTCATAATACATTAATCACCAAAAAGGTCTTTCTTGTTGGTTTCTGTTTCCTCAAAACACTCTCACCATATGGAGTACCATGTTGAACCACCATTTGCTTTCAGAACTGCCTTAATTCTTTGTGTCAAAGAGATGTGGGTCCATTTTGACATGTTAGCATCACGCATCTCTGGTTCCACCACATCCCAAAGCTGCTGATTGAGCGATGGAGGCTGTGGAGGCAATAGGAGTTCAGTGAACAGAGATTTATCAGACCAGTAATGTTTTGCTAATTCCCTAATGTGCATTTTTGGTGAGCCTGTATCAATATTAGCCTTAGTTTCCTGGTTTTGGTTGACTGGAGTGCCACCTGGTGTGGTCTTCTGTCATGAAGCCATCAATCAACCTTTATTTATACAGGTAAATCCCATTGAGCCTCGAGGACTCATTTACAAGAGAGACCTGATTTCAACAAAGAAAGATGACAACAATGGACAACAGCAACAACAATAAGCAATTATAAAAACTCATACTACAGTTTTTTTTTTTTTTTTTTTTTTTTTTTTTTTTTTAACAAATAGGATGGCTAAAAGGAAAAAGGTAACAAAACCAAAAAAACAGCTAGATTCCAAGACAAATGTATAAAACTAAAAACAGGAACATGTCAGCATTGGACCCTGCCAGGAGTCCAACAGATTCTTAAAGCCACTTAGAGAGGTCAAGGTCGAGAGCTTCAAATCTTTTTGTAAGATATTCCAGGAAACAGGAGCGGAGTAGGAGAAGGCCCTTTTGCCTAGTTCAGTCCTCACTGAGGGAACACTGCAGGTAATAATGTCCTGAGAGCGCACTCCGTAGCTGCACTCACGCAGAGACATGTAGGAGGAGATGTATGAAGGCAGCAGACCAAGAAGTGATTTAAAGATGAAAATGTACCAGTGAGAGAGTCTGCGTGAAGTTAATGATGTCCAGTTAACCAGTGAATACAGGGTGCAGTGGTGGGTACGATAATCACAGCCAGTTATGAATCTTAGTGCACCATGATAGACAGCATCCAACATCTGCAGGGTTCTTGTAGGAGCGTTCATGTAAATAATATCACCAAAATCAATTGAGGGAAGGAAAGTCACAGATACAAGGCGTTTTCTAGCATTCAGGGTTAGACAGGATCTGTTTCTGAAAAAGAAACCCAGTTTAATTTTCAGTTTCTTTACCAAGTTTTCCACATGGAGCTTAAAAGAAAGATGTGAGTATGTGTCCATCCAGTCAGTCCATTCTCCAATGACATCGACAAGGCATTTTCATTCACACGGCTGGCTCTCATTAAATCTTTTATATTTTTGGCCCATACTCTGCAAACCCTAGAAATGGTTATGTGTTAAAATCACAGTAAATCTGCAGTTTTTGAAATACTCAAACCAGCAGCCACAGTACATTCAAAGTCACTTCAATCTCCTATCGTCGCACTTGAAACTTCATGAAGTCGTCATCACCACATCAACAGACCCAAAGGTGCTGAGTCTCTGCCATGTGATTGACTGATTAGCTATTTGTGCTAAACAATTAAATAAGCCTACCTAAAACCTGTTGTGCTGCTTGTATCTATAATTACTGTTTTCTTCAGTGTATGATGATGATGCCCACAAAAACCTGAAAACGTTCCCAACTATGGAAAAATCCATGTAGGGTCTTGATGTCATCTTCAGTCGTATTTCTGAAATGCAGTGGAGTCTTCATTACGCTTGATAAGGCCAAATGGTTCATAGCAGAAACATAACTTCCCAACAAGGGCTTGGTGTTTTTCTGATCATGATGTGCACCATCTGGAGTCCTGCATGGAGCATGGGAGAACATGTTAGCAGCTAAAGCAGTGTATTGATGATTTTGTCCCATGTAAACTCACTATATGACTGCTGTCGTATAGATTTGTGCGTGTGACAGAGAATCTAATGTACGTGTATGTTAGTTAGTGTCCAGGTAACCAGATGTGATTGGACGGAAGAAACCGAAACGCTGAACGGGAATTGGCTGCCTGATGAGTGAAGATGCATAAAGATGAGCTGCGGAATGATGACGTCGCATCTGTTTTGCACATCCCAATCAGCCACACCTGACCTGCTGTGCCACATCAACCATTAGTCGTGTGTAAATAGTTTTGTGAGGAGTTTGTAGGGGTGAGCTGCCATCTATGTTAAGATTTTTTTTAAGTGTAAGATAACTGTATTTTGTTCAACTTAATTAAGAGGAATAATAATGACAAAATTTACATTTTGTTGGGTTTTTTTTTTTGGACAGGACTCACCCTGATGTTGTAGGACTTTTCTCTATATAATTACAACCCCATCCCATAGCCTGCTTGAGTTGGGCAGAAGTTGGAATCACCTTTATGTCATGTCCTGGCTATTCATAGACAAGGCAGAACAAGCGTGATTCTTTTTTTTTGTTGAGAATTTACAGCAGGACTGATCAAGCTGACCTCATAGACTAAGATCATTATAGTCACAAGGTCATTTTCACATCGTAGCACTGACGTGATTCCTGTAGCTTCATCCTGACATCTGCGCAAATTCAGTGTGGTGGAAGAGGACAAGAATGTCTGAGCTAAGCGGAAAAATGCAAGAAAAACTATAGTATTGTGAGTACTAATAATGTACATGTGTCCTTCACAATGAAGTTTTTTCCAAAGTTGCACCACCTTCCATCACTTCCTCCACTGTTGAATTTCCATTTCTGCATTATCATCCTGAACACTGAATGGTTTCAGTGTGTTGAACTCAACTCTTATTGTGATGAAAATCCCAGCAAATTGAAAACTTCTCGAGTCGCGCAGACAGTTCTGCCACAGTCTCAGTGTTTTACCACAAATCCAGCATTTTAAAGGAACATTAGCTGAAGCTCCTGACGTGTAGCAGGCGCGTTTGCTTTGATGGATCAGTGCGTGGATAACTTGTGTTTTTAGGACTTAGCTTTTTAAAATGCAGTCTAACTGTATGTAAAATTGTAAAGAACAAAAGCTGGGGTGCAGAAAATTATAAGAAAAGCACATTCTGCAGATAAAAACTACCTTTTTCAACCAAGCAGAGCAGAATTCACACGCCTGTGACCAGCTGACAGCCAGAGATGAGTACATCACATTCCTCCACTGTTTAAAACAACCCTCTTTATTTGCCTTTAAAACATATTTCAAAGCTCAGGCTTGTTGGACATGTTTTAAGTCAAATAATATCACATTTTCCCTGTCAAGGCCACAGCTCTGCCAGCACCGTCTGCAGTCTTTCATCCGGACAAACCTGCCTTATTCACATCATGACGGAGGAATCAGAGCTGCACACTCACCAGAGACCGAGCAGCGCCAAGAGCAGCCAGGGATTCATGGTTTCTTCCCGCAGTGCTGCTGAGAAAAACAGCAGCTTCATTCCGCAGCTGGATGAGGAGATGCTGTTTCCGCTGGAAACTGTAGTGTTTTTTTTTTTTTTTCTGTTGGATCACGACTAAATGCAGAGGCTGATGGTTAAGAGGAGAGGGTGTGAGATGAGAGGGATAGACCCATGTTGTGTGAGTGAGGAGGGGGAGGATGCTGCTGCTGCTGCCGGGGGGCTGACTCTGCTTTAGTCCATCTGCAGTGCCGTTAACATGCTGCTGTGACAGATGCTGCTCTCTAACAGGCGGCGGTAAAAATATCCCTCCTTTCCTCAGAATGACTGAACTCGGTGATTGGAGACGTCTGTAAAATCGGTTAATAAATAACTGACAAACGGGGTTCTGTTTGACACCGTGCTTGGTCCAATTTGCAGGAGTTGCTCTCTAACTGGATGTGCAGAAGATTCAACACAGCCTGAGCAGTTTCTGAACTGATTCAGCACCTTGCTCAAGGGCACCTTGCACTGGAAAGTGTTTCATGTATTTCATTGTTAGTTTTCCTGATTTCTGAGTCAGCAAGGCTAGAGCTAACATTTATTTGGTCCAACCCAGTAAAAGGTAAACCAGAACATGTTAATACCCTGAAACTTTAATACCAACTTTCCTTCTATAAAATTAGTCGTGATTTGGGACTTAGTAATGACAACAACTTTTATTTTGAAAGGTGCATACAAGATTTATTTTGAAACTCCAGGGTAAAACCACTTCCTCTATTTGTTAAGGATTTTTTTTTTTTTAGTTCATGGCTGAAATATTCAAATTCTACAGAATTTATGGAGGCAGCCATGATAGAATAATAAATACAAAGAAAAATAAAACAAAAATGGCAAAGTCATGTTCTTATTTTGAAGAATATCTACAAACTTTAGTTTCTAACTCTGGTTTCAAAAAAGAAAAAGAAAAGAATAAGTACACTAAAAAAAACCTGCTGATGAACACAAGAATCCGATGACAGTCTTCTGACTCACTTGTTGCCATGGTGATTCCCACCTTTTCTTGGGAACAGAGGCGGGAGGAGGGCTACACTGTACCAGTCATTATCAAACAGGAAGACACAAACAACAAATTGAGTATCAAAAGAAAACTGTTGCTGTGTGAAAATTATAATTAATATCTAAATCAATTTTGAACCACAAGCGACCAAAACTTCTGGTGGCCAGAGTGTGATTTTTATTTTTATTGATATATGTATTAATTGTAGATTATATAGAAAATATATAATACTATATACAGTTAAAGAAATCATCCACTTAAATGTTTTCAAGAAACACAAAGTCAAAGCTCAGATTTAATGGGAGTCAGTGGGACTTTGGGAGTATGTAGTCTGCACTCAGGGGAGATTTGAGAGAAAAATAAAAGTCCTACATCAGTGGGAGATGTACTGAGTGAAAGAAAAGAAAGTACCTATATTTTGATAATGTGTAAATAAAAAGAGTCTACAAAAGTTTGTAAAATGTAAGACAACTCAAACGTTAGTGTGTGACATCGTCATCCTCTACATTAAGTTAAACGGACTGTGGGAAAATCTCTGAAAATCATAAGACCTAAACGATAAATAGGTCAAAACTATTGGAAACTTAAATTAAGGTCCAAATTTCTGTGACCCGTTTAAACCTTAAATGAAGTTTCAGCTGTGATGTATGTCTGAGCTCTTCAGGGGGTTCCCAACCCTGGTCCTTGAGGAACACCACCCTGCATGTTTTAGTTGTTTCTCTGCTCAGACACACTTGATTTTAATAAATGGGTGAGTTACAGGCTTGAGCATGAGGAAGTAATCAAATCACTGAATCAGGTGTGTTGGAGCAGGGAAACAACTAAAACATGCAGGATGGTGTTCCTCAAGGACCAGGGTTGGGAACCACTGCGTCTAGAGCTCCAAAGATGCTGAGATCTTACTAATTAAAATTTCCAAATTACTTCAAATTAATTAAAATTACTTAAATTTACCAAAATTATGTTATTGCATAAAAATATGTCAGGATTTTGCTAATTTAGTTTCTACATATGATGTGTTGCTTCCAGAAGTCACATTAATTCTGACTGAGCAGCACATTTTGCTATTTGTATCTGTATTTCTATTTTATGTTTTCCTGTCCGCTGTGCATGTTTGTTTTCTTTTGTACAGCACGTTGGTTGGCCTTGTTGCTGTTTTAAGTGCTCTATAAATAAATTGGTATGGTATGGTATGGTATGGTATTTTGATGTTTTTAATATGGGGTTTTCCAAAGTTGCAGGATAGGTAGAGAACTAACAGAAGATTAGGAACCTTTTAAAGTGTTCAAAGCTTGAAGTAAAACAAATAGATTAAAAAAATTGGAAAAAATGGTTTTATCATGGGAGCCAATATGAAAAAAAAACACTGAATTTATTTCTTTAACAGTAAAATAAAACGTAATAGGAAAAAAAAAACTAGTTTCAAATCAATCTGATAAATGTTTTTGTCCACAGAACAAAATTTAAGTCACTTTAGAGCCTTTTCAGTTTGTATCCAAAAATCCCCCATTTATTTCTTGTTTTAATTCCACTTAAAATCTCAACACTATTTTAATCAACTATCAGTCACCATAATTATTCTGAGGTTAAATTAGTTTACTCTAATGTAAAAAAGATCCCATATTACATGTGTATGATGTCATATCTTTAAAGCAGCTCATCAGAATTTAAAAAAAGGTCATATTTAATGTCTTTTAGTCCTCATAACATCACTGCCACATATGCACATTAATTACCTGGCTTCTGGCTTTGAGGGCTGTAAAAAGTAATTAGCATTAATAGTTTGCTCCGGTCTCACGCTGATTCTCTGACACAATCAGCATGTAAAGCAAAATGCCACCTAGCAGCCCTCTGATTAGCTGTTTTCCCAGCAGCTTCACTTCTCAGATCAGAAATATAATTACAGCTGCAGCATCGGCTCAACAGATCAGCGAGGCTGCTTACAAAGGCTTTTATTATGTGTGAATAATCTCCTTCCTGGCTCACCTTTGGGCCATCGGCAGCATTTGTCAGCAAATGTTACCTGAAGGAAACAGTCATCTCAGAGTATAATGTCATGCAATATCAGTAAAGTTTTTTGTTTAATTTGGAGTAAAACTACACCAGTGTAGAACAAATTAACCATAATTAAGCTTTTAATACAAGACTTCTTTGTCCACTTTTACATTTTAGAAGGTCAACAGCTCGCTGAATATTGATGAGGACGCCCTGATGAGAGTTACTGATCCGTGTTGTCTGTGTCTCCACTTTAACCAGGATCAAAGCTTGTTTGACTTTCTGAATCTTTCTGTTATTCAAAAGAATGTCAAGATTTAAAACAATTAAATTCACAAAGTGTGTATTAATTTTGCATCGGCTCATCTTCTATGCCAGAGAACTAATTAAAACTCTGAAACTTCCTCTTTAGTAACAACAACTAGGATTAAAGCACAATTTACCACTGTTGAAAAAAATACAGACAACAAGATGATTAAAGAAACTAAATTTGACTTGTAATCCTTAATGTTTTGCAACTATTGTTCAGGAAATCTTTAAGTGAAACCAATAAGTTTGAAGATGCAGACCCAGTATTTTAATTGAGGGGTTCTCCATCCTGAAAGCTGCAAATGAAAAGGTCAAAAACCCTGAATTCTTTGATTTAAACCAACATCTGTGGAAATAAACCGCATTCCGTTCAGAAGTTACATTAATAAGAGCATAAACAGCAACAACTCAGCAGCAGCAGCCTCTCCTGTGGACTCTCCACCTGCCACCACAGCCTCCCTGGTGGTCTCTTCACCTCTCCTCAGCCCGAGTCCAAGAGGGTCCAGGTGGTCACCACTCTTGCCCAAAAATGGACGGTTTTCTGGGCACCTGTCTGAACTCTTGCCTCGTTCGGGAGGGTCTCTGGGCCTCCCACCTGAAAGCCTGTTTTGCTCTGAACTGTCTCCTGGTCGTCCACGTTAACTCTTGGGGTTGGGGTTCTTTTTCTTTTGCATTTGTGGTACCCAGGTCCCTACCTGCCATTTTATTTTATTGGTCTTTGCGTTTCTCTTTATACCCTCGATCCTTTTTTCTTCCTCCTCCCATCCAAGTTGAGCATTTTTTTAAATTATATCTTTGAGATTTCAGGTGCCATCCCTTGAGTGGGGGTTCTGTGGGGTTTCTGTGTTTTTTGTTCTCTTGTACTCTCCTGTGTTCTTCCTTGTGTCAGCTCCTGTCTCACCTGTGTCTAATTGTAATCACATCATCATCAGGCGTTTCTCAGATTCAACAGAGGAGTTGAGGGGGGAGGGGGTGGGTCCCAGAGGCCATCTTAGCACCAGCAAACTGGCTTTTTCCACTATGGAGTGTGCTGTTTGTGGGAATCAGTTGGTTTGGTGTCTCCTCAGATTTGAAGAAGTCCTTTGGATGAAACGTCTCAGCAAAAAAAAAATAAAAACAAACATCTAGATGTCCTGACTGAACAGTGTTGGATTTTTATCTGGATTACTGAGCATGAACGTTGGTGTTTATCAAATAGTTAAATTATATCTAAATTGTTGCATAAAACAAAACAAATTATGTCCCAATAATTATTTTGCTTTAGATAAAAGAGACATACTCCTTCTTGGTTAATCATTATTGCTTAATCGAGTTTTAAGTATTCATTCAGCTACTTTTTAAACTATAGTTGTTATCAAAAATTCATATTCTTTGTAATTTTTGTACGTGTTTCTATTTGGATTAATTATTTTTGTAATAAAACTTCAAACACACATTGGTCTCCTCGTTGGATTCATTTGTTATAGTTTAGAGTTCCCTGCAATTAACAGATTCTAATTCAGTGACTGAGTTATGATTATTAAAGGGTGAATCCATTAATGACGCTGTTGGTGGACCGTGAACTGACCCGCTGATGTCCCGCTTTAATGAGTTAATCATTTTTATTACATATTTTAATGAATTAAATAATTTAAGTGTAGTAAAGTGAGGAGCAATCCTCCTTTCACTCATATCTGCTACAACAGTAACTGAACTTGGAGAATGTGCAAATACAGCAACAAGTTAAAAAAAATCTATAAACACAATTAAATGATTGAAAAATGCTATTTTTTTTTTCTGGCTACCATTTCTGTTGGACTGAGGGTGATGTTTTTTTTTTTCTGATTTGTGTTATCAGCAGCAGATCGGGGGCGGCTGAGGCCGTCGGGGAGCTGTGACGAGTAAAGAGATGAGTGTGG